GAGTATCTCATCACTCTTACCATCTGAGGATTGTTAGACCACAGCGTGAACATCTAAGTATCCATATGAAACTTTAAGCCACAGAAAGCAGTAACATACATTTTTATATTGAGCATTGTCTTTATGCTATAAAGACACTGCTCAATGCAAACTATACTAAACAAAGCCAATATTAAAATATAAGTAAAACAATACTCCTATGTTACTGCTATAGCATCCCTGTTTGCCTTTATTATACAAAATATATACAAGTTTCATTAAAAATGACTGACAGGGTACTGTGGTTAAGTTTTTATTATTTTATTTTTCTTGTGTACTTATAATTTTCTTCTTTTCTGAACATAGATTATATAAAAATTGTCGAAATGTTTTGGGTGTCTGGACACTTTTGGCAATACTTTTGGTCACTATCAAGGATTTTTATTTTTGCTTTTAAGTGAATATATACAATATATATATATATATATATATATATATATATATATATATACACACACATATATATATATTAATTATTTTTCAATAGCCAGTTTTGATGATGTGTTCTCTGTGTGTGTGTATATATATATATATATATATATATATATATATATAATTTTTCTGACTTAGGTAGAATTAAATAAAAATCAGTCTCTTGCCTGATTTTAGTGTTTGTCTTTGCTGTTGTTAAGTTTTTATTTTTTTTTTTCCAGGGTGGTGGGATAGTTTGTATAAATTTACCTCAACCAATTTACTTCCTTTTAGAAAAAAAAAAAAAAAATATATATATATATATATACATACACACACACACACATTTTTCTATTATTAAGAAGTAAATAAGTTGAGGTAAATTTAGAAAAATACTGACCCTTCGCCCCACCCCCAAATGAAACAACAAATATGACAAAGTTTAAAATTGATTTTCTTTTAATTTAGCAAAGTCAGAAACATAATAAATGAAAATAGATTGAATCACTGTAATATCAGGCAAGTGAACTTTTCACTAAAAAAATGTGTCAAAATATGAGAACTATCTTCTCAAATAAGGCAGCAATACATTTTATTTTGGCTTATTTTATGTAAAATTTCCTCATTAAAAACACGAACATTAAAATATTTTTGTCCAGTCTAATTTATACAACTATTTGCCAATTCTAATTTTCTTAAGTATTATTAATAATATTGGACTTTTTAGATGAAATTAGTTCTATTTTACACTTTCTTATATCTTAGTATATGGTTATTCTTTTCACTCTTTCCCATCATCATGTCTTTATTATTCATTTTTTGTCTTTTAATTTCATTTACTGCTTTTCTCATTTTCCATTCTTTATTGCCGGTTTTGTACTTAATTCCTGTTTTTGCCTTTGTCGTTTTTCAACTTAGTATATATTGAGACCCTGTTTACTAAACAGTTGAATTCATCTAGTATCAGAAAAGAGCTAAACTTACCAAAATTTTTGTCTACTTTCATAGCCAATAGCTCAAAATTATTAGCTGGAAAATATTTTCACCTTCACCATTGCTCGAATAGAATTCTATCACTAAAGAAGTGAGCTTTTTTTTTAAAATGTGGCTTTACTTTTGTCTTCATTTTATTTGTTAATTCCTTCTGATATTGTTCCAAGTTTTCAATATTATGAAATCAATTCAGAATTTTTAGATCATTGATTATCATCATAATATTTAATGCTTCCTTCTTTGCTGGTCTTTTAACTTTTATTGATTTTACTTTTAGAATTAACATTGCAGAGTTAATTCTTTGTTTACCCAAACCGTTAGAAATAAATACATAAATTCATTAAAGAAAGAATGAAGCTTTCTAATCACATAAAAAAGCACAATATGGTATCAAAAACCAAAATGTCTCCCTAAAATATAATAAATGTTTACCATTTACCCTTCCTATATTTGTTTTCTCTTTAGTTTGCGAGAATATAGATGCATGGGTGCTGTAATGGATAGTGGCTTGGAATAAGAAATGAGAGAGCTGAGTTCGAATTCCAGTTGGGTTTATTACATTTACTTATGCACAAATATCCTTGGTTAAGGTATGAATCCATCTCATCCCCCAGCTATAGATAAATCATTTTTATTCTCAAAAAATATTCAATATTCACTTGGGGTGGGGGGTATTATTCTTACAATCCAAAATATGTTTCAAATTTAAATAACCTACAAAGGGTTGATAAGCCATAAAAACAATTCCATCAATCAATCATAACGAGAATATAATTTTGAAGTGGATATTTTAAAGTTAACTTAATTAATTGCTATGATAAAATTAGTATTATCTTTTAAATTAACTGGCTTCAAATAAAAGTAAAATCACTTAGGAAATTACAAGGATAAATTTTGGCAGGGTTACAATTGAAAGAAAATGAAGAAATTTATCTTTGTGTCAGTGAACTTCATTAAAAATCATATATCTATATAAGGAGGTGCTGAAAAAGTTACTGACATAATCCTCTTCCCAAATTTGACCAAATATCTTTTAGGTTGAACAATGTTAATCACTCTCTTAATGCTCTTGTAAAAAGAAAAGGCAATTCACGTGCTAACTTTCGGTTAGTTGTTGCAGTACTCTGAAAATTATTGTTTTTTGGGTAATATTTAAAAGAAATTTGAACTTGGTTGGGAGATCAATATTTGAAGATTTGTTTATCATTATAATACACTGATTTATTTGAACCAGTGTCCTCAGCTTGGTTGTCATAGTTACAGTATTTTGGTTATTTCTCGGATGAGGAATTATCATTTTTTATACTGATTTATTTAAACTCGTTTCCTCATCTTGGTTGTCATAGTCACAATATTTCGGTTATTTCTCAGATGAGGAATTATCGTTTTTTTATACTGATTTATTTAAACTCGTTTCCTCATCTTGGTTGTCATAGTCACAACATTTCGGTTATTTCTCAGATGAGGAATTATCATTTTTTATACTGATTTATTTGAACTGGTATCTTCATCTTGATTGTTATATTCACAATGTTTCAGTTACTTTTGAGATGATGTATTTTCATTATTATATACTGATGTATTAGATTTCAATACTGTATACATTATAAGACGTAATTTTCATCAGTTTTGGAATTGTTGAAGCCATAAAACAGATGTAAAATTTCTCTTGCATTAGAAATTATTGTTGCTCTATGCATGACTAATAACTTATTTCTGTAATTATTATTTGAAATGTGTATTTGGAAGAAATAAACAATACATTTCATTTATAAGGCAAATAGAAAATAGATTAATCTTTTATCAGGAAAATAGTTTTAGTTACTAAAATATTAGCTGTGTCATTTAAATGGGTAACATTACAAACTTGAAGATATTTTTCTGAATTATTTGCAGCTTGTTGAAATTACGTATTTTCAGTTTTATTTTTCCTTCTTGTTCCCAGCTTGTAATTTCAGTTCCAACCTAATTTGGTTTATTTGATGTTTGATTTTGCCAAAACCTCTAACTGAAATGATAATGCTTTTTCACTGTATGTTCTTTTCTGTAGAGTTTTCTATTTTCTATTTAGAATTGCAAATATTCAATATTCTTAAGAGTTGTTTGCTATATTCATTGATTTAAAAAAAAAAAAATCAAAACAAAGAAAAATCTCTCAGAGATTTGTAAATCATATATTCAGTATTTTTTAATTCTTTTAGAAAATTCATTGTAATTCAACTGAATGAATAAATTTAAATTAAACATTGAATATTTTCTCCTTATAACAGAAAAAAGATATTGTGCTCAAATGAATGAAGTGTAATCTTGCTGAAGTGATGATGTTTTAACTAATAATTCTTGACAACAAAGCATTCTTTCATATGTAAATGTAATTATTTAATGAGTTCATAATTTTTTAAATATCTTACTTCGGTCATCTTTATTAATTAATGTCAACAAGTAAAAAAAATTATGCTTATTTTATGAATATTGTAACATATGTGATGAGTAATATTGCACGAAATCTGAGGGATAACAAATTTTCATTAAATGTTTGATTTGCAGTCGCTGACTTGATTATCAGCTGGAATGAAACGTGTCTCCACCTTGCCTCTTGGTTGGAAATCACTTGTCATTTTTGTTTTTCTATTTTTCTTTTTTAAAGAGTATTAACTTCATTGAACAATTCAAATCTATCTATCTATTTATTTATCTTTCTTGTCTTTACAACAACCTTTAGATTGTTGTACTTCCCAACTATCTTCAGGTATCGGTTACATTTAGTTGCTTTCTTGGAATGTCGTATAGAAGTCTTTATTTCATCAATCCTCAACCTGTCGTCTATGCTGCCCTTCCAAGGGAATTTCATAACTTCTTTTTTATTATAATCTCTTTCTCTTATGATATCTTTTTTGAGCTGGTGTATATTTCTAGTATTTCTGACTGATTCAAGGATTGAACTCATCACTTCCAGGAAACAAAATGAACTTTACCAGCACGTTTATCTATAAGGCTAAGTCCTGCATGATGAGTTTGAATGAATTAAAGTATCATAGTAAAATACCTTCTGATTTCTCAGAAATTCAGATAAAAGTCTTCATTCACTACATGTGTCACTACATGTGTATCTCTTCAGAAAACTCAGTCTTTACAAGATGGCTTCTCTTCTGAATTTGATGTTATATTTTAAGAAGACAAACCTGCATTAAATGTCATGAAATTTTAAATAAAAATGCCACCTGTTTGGTAGTATTTTGTCTACATTGTTTAATGAATCATAGCTACAATAAATTACTTAAATTGTTATTACAGGTTTCAAATTTTTTTATTCTAAATTAATTACTGTGAACAGAAATAATACTTTCATATTTTAATTATTCTCTTTATAAATGTAATCCAAAAATAACTCATGCTGTAAAGATTTTAAACAATTTATGCATTTGTTCTAAATTCTTATCTTCATATATTTTGGAGTTACTGTATACTGAAGCAATTAAGATTCTAGAATTCTGATATTATCTTGTGCAAATGAACAAGATGCAACTTTGTACTAATTTCTGATATTATCTTTATAGACTTTGGCTCTGAAACATGTAAACAGTAACCAATGCTTAGACAGACCATCTCCAGATGAAACAGACACTCCTGGTATTGGTGAGTATCTAAAAAAAATAAAGCATACAAAGGTTTTCTTTATAGGTATCACCACGAGTTTGCCAGAAAATCAGCATAGCAGGATAATAATGGCCTTAAACTTGATGAAAATAATTTTTTATCATCTAAATGGTCATGTTATTATCAAAAGGAAAGATCAAAGTATTTTTTGATTATTTTTTTTACATTTTTTAATAATTTCTAGCACATCCAAAATTTTCGTTAAAAATCTTGTATTTTTTTGAACAGCAAAACTGACAGAAAATTGATCATCAGCCATTTTTTTAACTTTTGTTTACAAAAGTGAAATTTTCCGTTTAAAATTCATTTAAAAAATCAATTATGATTTTTTTTTTTTAAATTAATTTAAGAAAATTAGAAATTATAAAGTTTATTTAATATATTTTGAAACAAACATTACTTACTTTCAAATGATTTAAATGATTTTAGGGCTTAACAGAGGTGTTGATTGACAAGTGACATGTGCGTAATTTCATCTTACCGGTGGAAAAATTATTGTACGGAAGGTCACAAGAGACAATTTAGCTTTATGTGAACAACTTATTTACCTTGTTATTTTTAAATAGGCATAGCATGATAAAAACGGCATTAAACTTGACGAAAGCAGAATTTTATCGTCAAAATGTCACTACCACGTGACAGACTATTGTTTTCATGATGCTTCCAGTCTTCCGTATATTTGAATTTTAGCTATTTTGGGACACAAAAAAAAAACATGTTATATTAGATTTTTAGCTATTGGCAACTTTTCAATTGTAACCAGCTTTATTTTATAATCTGTAAATGATATTTATCTACTTAATAACACCATTGGCTAAGGTGTACAAGATTTTCATTAATTTTAGAATATTTAACAACTTTAATGTAAAAAAATAAAATAATTTAAGAAATAACAAATAATTGTTGTAAAAATTTTATTTACATCGAAAGCATTTTTTGCTTTCAGAAAATATTATCCATATTCCTATAAGCAACTAAAAGCTTTTGAAATTAAATAATATCTTTGTTTTATTGAGTTTTGTATGTTACAATTCAGAGCTGATTTTAAGGTCAAAGGGTGTCAACTAAAAAAAAATGATTTGCTTTCCTCAAAGCCTTGTGCTTTTAACTAATTAATCACTAAAACTGTACAAATTAGAATTTCATGAATTTTCATAAAATTAATTATGGGGTGAGTAATAAATATAAAAAAATTTTTTTTATCATGATTTGAAAAAAAATAAACATATTTATAATAATTTCCATCATTTGTGAATAGTTTCTGAAAGTTTCATTAAAATCTGACAATTATTTTTATTTTTACAAGATTTTCAAAATTAATGACTGCCATTAAAAAAAAAAAACACAAAAATCCGCTATGTTATTTAGTAGGACACTTAAAAGAAACGATGTTTTTCAATCAAAAGTTAGAATGCTCTAATAAAGACAGAAAAATTTTAACAAATAATTGAAAATTACTTTGTCCTTTCCTCTTAATAAAAACATAAACATTTTGACGATAAAAATTTTGTTTTCGTCAAGTTTAAGGCTTTTATTATCCTGTCATGCTCATTTCTCATGGTGATACCTACTTAATAAGCATTAAGAGAATGAAAAACTGATATTTTTGTAAAATAAAAATATTTTCTTCTTCCTTAGTCCAGACAATTATAAATGACCTGTATTGTTTTTTTTTTTTTTTGTTTTTTTTAACAAAGGGTATAAAACAGTTCAGTCCATAGTTGTTGATGATAATTATTTTAAAAAAAAAAAAAATTTTGTAAGAAGAAATTAAGTAAAAAGAATTATGAATTTTTTCCTGTGATTAATTATCTAGTAAAAAACATCGTTTTTGATTTATGGATTTTTTTTTTTTCGTTTTCAACTTTTGAGGATGAAAGAATGTGGGTAATGAAGAGAAATGTTTTTCAATTTTTTTACTTTTCATCATTTCACACCTAGCTATTCTGATAATGCATATTCTAAAATGGAAGGGTCTAGTCCTGTTTCTATTTTTTTTTTTTTTTTAGAATAAGGCAAATAGAAATAGAAGGAATTGTTTTTGTTAGTGGGTAGGGAAACTTTAAAATCTAGTTTGTTATTGAGACAATTAAGATGTCGAAGAAAAGTGATAGATGAACATATCTATATTATTGGTCAATAAACTTACTGCAAATGTTATTAAGTTTCATTATTTGATGAATAATTTTTAAGAGAAAGGATAAATTAACAGAATTTAATAAGTAAATGTATTAGAAAAGGAGGATTTTTAGTTTTAGAGTCGGCCAGACTAATTGAGATAGGAAGAATACCACCACTAATATGTGGTTGGATAGGTAGGTGGAAATTTTGGATAATAATTTTTTGGAATTGAAAGAGAAGATCAGTGGTTTGTGATTAGTTTGCATAGATGTTAATTTTATGAACAGGTTGAGCAAGTTTTTTCTTGGGAAATTTTTAAAACTGTTTCTTAATCCCCTAGCATTTGGTGCATAATGAATTTGATTATCAGTATAATCTTGTTTTTATTTCCAAAAATTTATGCAACCTAAAAATTAATTTCTGGTTTTAAATAACCTGGAAAAGCTTGTTTAAATCCTAAGAAAAAAATGAGGATTTTTGCAATTCCATTTAAAATTTAGAATTTCAAAAGTGCTGTTTTACTGTTGTTCCGGACATAATGGGTCTGATTGATATGTTGAGTTTGTGTTTTGGGTAAACCGATAAACCACATCCAACAGCAAGGCCTCTGATCAGGAGGTTTTAAGGTGGAACCACCTCTTAAATGCTGGTGTTATAAACCATAGATTGAATGTTGGGGTTGAAGAAACCAAATGTGCCTGAGCAGGCGTATACAACAAGGATTAGCGAACACCTAAGTCGACAGGCATCCTCGGATACGACTTGCCAGCTATACATATACTGAAAATTTTACCAGTATTGCTTTGTTTAATACAGTTTTTGAAAAATATTACTTGCATATGAAAATTAACAGTAAAAAAAAGTGTTGATTTATTATTTTAGTAAAAAATAGATAATTCCTATAACTTATTTTGAGGAAAAAAATATTAACAGAAATAGGATTTTGACAAAACAAAAGTAGTACCAGGAAAAAAAAAAGTTGGGTATTAATTGACCCAATTATGTTTGATTGCATGAAAAAATAAATATTTGTTGAATAACATCAAAAAATTGTAAGAATTTAAAAATATTAATCAACACGTTTTAATAAAACTGGAACATTTCATAATCCAATTGCAAAATAAAAAGACTAAAAAATTCTAGAATCCATTTACATCCAATTTCATTCAGAACTCTAAATAAAAAATTTTTTCAACGAACAAAATATTTTTAATTTTAAGAAATAAAAACTTTTTCTCAAATACATTATTTACTATTCTAAACAGTTTAGAAGACACTTGTGTTTGTTTTGAAATTTTTTTCTACAAAACTTTTATCGCAAAATTTTAATCAAAACATTCCGCCTAATTTTCTTTTCTCACATATGTGTGGATAATAATACATTTGAATGAAAGCATGGGACAACACAACAAAAATTTTAGACAACGAATATTCTAAAAAAAAAATAGACATTTTGAAAGAAATCAATGGGGGCTCGTTCATAACAGATCAAGAAAAATTACTACAGTCAGAATCTATAGTTTTCACACTTTAATCATTTATATATATTATACCATTATATTGATTCTAGAAGCAAATAAGAAACCAAAATAGATATTAAAAGCAAATTATATATATATACATATATATATATATATAAATAAAAAAACATACACTTTTAAGGTACCATTACAGTAATTTTTTTCGGTATTTATTTTAAAGGAAATGAATAACATTGGGCCAAAATTTGAAAGAAATACGAAAATTGAATGCAAAAATTATTTGTGATTATTTTTGTAATTTATCATGATGGGTGTAAAAGGTAAATTTTAAGAGATCATTGTAGTTACTATCAACAAAGGATTACTTTTCTTCATCGATTTCTCAAGGATTAACTTTGTATTGGGGAAGAACGAATGATTTTTTTATTTTCAACGTGATTTGACCTATTTAGACAGTTTCATTAACGAAGTTTTTTATTAAAAAATGGAGGGAGAAGGAAAAAGAAAGATGAAAAACCAAATTTAAGTGTAGAAAGAGGTTGCAACAGTTTTTAGCAATTCATGTAAAGAATAAATTTTAATGCTTTTTAGTGATTTAGAATTTTAAAAATAATCCAAATAAATTAATTTGATGAAAATAAAAATTTAAATAAAACAACGTTTTTTAAAACAAATAGTGCAGCTTAGGGATTTCCTAATGCATTAAATACTATATTTCAAAATTTATTTATTAAATATTAAAATTTCATTTTAAATTGAGATTTGTTTACACTGAAATCAATGTATTTTTTTTATATCATCAAACCATAGTTACAAATTGATTTTAAAGCAAATTAACATGATTAATTATTAATTTTAAATAGTTTTGTAATTATTAGTATTATAACATTATTAAGTTTAGGATTTAATTAAAATGAGTAATAATTTGAAAGAAAGAAATTAAAGATTTTACAATTTTGCCTTGGTACACATACATATTCATAGCAAACTTATACAATTACGTTTATTTAAATTTTTATACACAAATCCTTTTATCATCCTTTTTAGTTTCGGTTTTCAGATAAGATTTATTGACTGTAACTTATTTTAGAAATATTTTAACATTAATAATAGTGGTTTGTGATTGATTTTTGATTAATTAAGAGTTAAAAATTGGAATAATTTAATATTTAATTGACTACCGAAGGAAGGAATACCAAAATATGAAGTAGTATATATGCTGAGGACTAAGAAAATACAAAAAAAAGAAGATAAAATTAAAATGGTATAATTTATTTTTAATCGCATTCGCAAACGTATAAAATTCTTTTACTCATTCAGCGACGAATAACCACCACTTGTTTTATTATATCTATGTATATATAATATTTGAGAAATATAAACAGAATAAAACAAATGTTTTTATTATATATAAATATATATAAATAAAAATATTAAAAAAATAATATAATCACATACAAAAATTTCAGATATCGGATGTGTGTCTTTTTAGAGAATGATTTTTATATCTTCGAAATATCTTAACATTTTCATTTTATATAATGACGTAAATCATGTTATTCTATTTAAATTGCCCATAAAGGCGTTATGCATAAAAATTCTATTTAAATCCTGAAAAAATAAATGTTTTGGAAAAAATCAATTATTTATGTTTATTTTTCAATCACATCTACAATGCAAAAGAATGGATACATAAATGAACATAAAAGTTGTTCTTTTTTTTACAGCAAAAACAAGAAATTTTTTACAAACAAAACTAAACAAAACAATAAGGGAAAATTTTCTTGAATTGATTCCTTTTCATGTAGTGTCTTGCAAAAATTTCATAGGAAAAAATGATGGAATCTAAAAAGATTATTTGAACACAAACTGGACATTTTTACAAGATATATTATTTAAAACCATTTTACTGTCGTCTCAACTACAAATTAACTAATGTTTTGGAACTAAAGTTAAAATTTTGTTCGCATCACAGAAAAAATGATTTATTTTTTTAGGCCCAAAGTATAATTTTATTTAAGCTTCTCGATTTGGCCAGTTCAGAAACCCATTTCTAAAATTTTAAATGGTTGGTTTTTTTCACAATTCTTACGGTGAGTTCAATCTAACTACAAAAGTGAAAATTAGGTTTAACCTTTTAAATTATATTTTCCCAGCATTAGCCTATCTGCTTTATATATTTTCAAATTTCATACTATTTTCCCAAGAATTATCTACCATTTTTAGAACAAAATTTATAAGATAACTAAAATACATGGAGTTATATCCATCTGATAACAATGGGTTAATTTGGCAGTTTTATTTATTTTTTTAATTTATTTCATTTCAAATACATTGGGGCTTTCTTAAATGGTCTTCAAATATGATTAAATCATTTTATATGTTTTTATTTTCAATTATAAAGGTCTAAATGCTATATTTATTATATTTAATGGTGCATTAGATATGGCATTGTTAAGATTAAAATTAAAATGTAGGAATTAAGTACACGTTTTTTATTTGTAATCAAATAAGAGATATATAATTATGAAAGTTTTATTATGATTTAAAGTGAACATAATGCAATGCCTACAAAAGACAGTTATTTCTTTTCTTTGATTTAATAAATCCTTATTTTTAAGAAACTTACTAATATGTAACTTTTCATGTAAGCACAAAGAAGATGGGTTATTTAAAGACCTACAAGTTCTCGTTTTTTTTAATAATTTCTATTTCACTGTGGAGGTTTTATTTGTTTCTTTTAAATGCTAAAAATATGAAATGAAAATGAAGACACATTTTTAATGTTATAATATTGTGCTTTAATGCATATTGAGCACTTTTTAAAAAAATATATGCTAAAGAACTGGATTATTAATTTGACTTCTTTCTTTTTATTTTAATACATACATATATATATATATATATAAAACAGTTTTGGAGGAATGATGTATGACAAAGTGGAAAAAGTTTTTGTGTGGTGTATTTTGTCCTTTAGGACTTCATTGGATTAGGTTTGTTTACAAATAAGCACAAATGAGAGATGCTGGGAATTTTAAATATAGATTATATACCAAAAAAAACATGAAAAAATTTTTTAATTTAAAATTCCCAGAGTGTCTCATTTGTATGCATGTGTAGTCACATCAATGTAAACAAACATACCTAATCCGATGAAGACCTAAGGGACGAAATGCATTGCAAAAACATTTTTCATAAAGACAAAAGGAAAACTTATCTTAGTTGAGTGATGAACTTTATCAAGGCAAATGTAAGGATTTTATTTTGAAATATATATTTATAGATAATTTGTTTATAATACTTGTTGCAAAATAAAATCTCTACATTTGTCTTGATAAAGTCCATCAGAGGATGAAACAGGTAAGTTTTCCTTTTATCTTTATTCATATTGTCCTTTTGCAGATCTGAAATTTTGTACACACACACACACACACACACACACACATATATCCTGTTTTAACCCTTGCATTTTACCAACACGTCACCTTATATGATTTGAACTTTTAAATCTTCAATATTCTAGTAATACATTTTTTTCTAATGTTTTTTCTTCCCACCCCCACACTCAAAGTTTAACTTGTTTTATTTTTATTCAGGTCCTTGCAACAATAGTCCTAGCCAACAGTGGATCCTAACAGACATGAAATGGCAGTGAGGGGAGACAACTCACGCAAAAAAAGGAAGGGTGGCATCATCGGTGATGACGAGGCACATCTCTCTATCTCACTCAGACAATCACCACTTGTTGCCAGTCCTACGTCCTCCACCTCACAAACATTCCCTGTGATAATACTACTGATAACTTGCAACCACTTCCATCATTATTACAACAACAACAGCTACTACTACTACAACAACAACAACAACATTATCTGTCAGCTAGTGTTTTTTCTCACTGACTTTGCTGTAGGTCTGCTGCTACTAGAGTCACCACTTCACCACAATGTTGCTGTTGTTTTTTTTTTTTTACCATTCTCTGGTTTTGTACTTGTAGATGTGATTCATCAAATGACCAAACATAAAATATTTCCTGTGGAGATTTTTCCTTCCTCTTTTATTCACTATTTACCGTCCCAGTTTACTTTCCGAATTAGAATTTCATACATCAGTTGCTATGTAATATTTTGTTAGGTTTGATGCATGGTGATAATTTCACTTGGTTGACTTTTTAAAGTTAAAGAATTTAATTTTCAAAATTATTCTTAAATAATGTTTTCATATTTTGCTTTTCCTTAATTGAATATTTTAAAATATTTAATTAACTCTTTTTTTAGTTCATGGTCAAAGTCAGATAATCAAGGAAACCTGAGTTGAATTTTCATCTAACCTAATTACATCTTTTGTTAATACATTTTTAATCCTATTTTTATATTTTATCTGCTGGTCACAGATTAATGACACTCCTCACCCAACACAACCAAAATCCAAAGTTAGTGAAACAGTCACATTCTACAAGTTGACTCACCTGAAAGGAAATTTCTTTCTTGTTGGTTTTATGAACAAATCCAACCTTTTAGCACTTGATCTGATGGGCACACTTGATGCTGTGACATCCTGTAATAAAGAGGAGAAATTGGCTGGTCAAAATACTGTACATTCTATTTTTTTTTTTCTGTGGTGAGTGTACTATGTAGATATTGGTTTCTTCAACATTTTAATTACTTCTTGTTAATTAAAGGTGAAGAATGAATTGTTTCTTCCCTTTCCACTTGTAATTAGAGCTTAGGTTTTAGTGGTTAAGTAGTAGCCTTTGTCTGGTGGTGGTGATGATGATGACGATAGTGGTTCTCTTTTGGTTTAAACTGGCACTAGACAAACCCTGAGAGTGGTGAGTGGCATTTTTGTTGGTCATCAACAAAACTAATTTGGAGGATGTTGTTGTCATCAGAAGGAACAGATGGTTGTCTTTGTGTATTTTTTAAAATTTTTTAAAAGCTTTTTTTCTGTTGTTGCAAAAGCCAAGTGGGAGTGGGTTAATATATATATATATATATATATATATATATATATAAAATTAAAAAAAAATATAATTACATGAAGAGGAACAACACAAAAAAAAAACTTTCTATTGGTTTTGTAGAAGGTAAGAAAAATAATAAAAAAGGACTTTATTACTGATGCTGTTACTACTACTACTGAAACTACCTACAATGTTAATGATTGACCATGGGCGCTTGGGAAAAAAATTAAAACAAATGATTCTGGATTTGGTGTAGAGGAATCATTTTTCAGTGGAGTTACCTCCCATCGCTTGCTGCTCAGCACAAGATTCACAAAGGATGTTTTAAAATGTGAAAGAAATTTAAAAGAAGGAATGAAGGAAGGAAATAGGTCACAGGCCATGTCCATCAGCACACATTTACATACACAACTGTGTAGACACGTTTATATGCATCTACAATATATATATATATATATATATATATATGTACCATGTACCTTCCCATAATACATCCCAAATTTACCATGTGCTGAATGCACCTGTATAAAAATTGTTGATACTGTTTTCTGTTGTTTTTCTTATTTCATTTATTGTATTTACCAACATGGCAAATTTTGGACATTTTTTTCTTTCTTCTCTCTCTCTCTCTCTCTCTCTTGAGAGAGAATAAAAAAAAATGACAATTTAAAAGAAAGTATCTTAAATGCTAATAACTATGGGATGGGTAAATTGTGTGTACGGTACATGTGTGTACGGTACATGTGTGTAAATTCTAAAGGTGTACAGAAGATGATAATTGCATTAGTCATAAACACAAAGTTTTTGAAGGGTTATTGTAAATACATTTCTTGTAAACCTCTCACACCTACCCATGTACAATAATGTCTACATTTTTCATTTATATCCATATTGGCAAGGATTGCTTGCATTGGTAGATTTGTCAGAATCTGAATTTGCATTTTATAGATATATTTTGTATCTATATGCAAAGTTGTGTGGGTGTGTAAAGTGCATATATGAACATATATGCATAGCCCTGCATGTATAGACATGTTTGCATGCACACACACTTGCTAATAATGATTTTTTTCCCCTATCTACACACCCATATAATTTGTATTGTTCTTTGCCTGTACTTATTATGATACTTTTAATATGGCTGGTGCATACATATGTTAGCATACATATCTATACACACATACACAAAACACACACTTATACATGTCTATACAGTTGTGTCTGTTGTTACATTTGTTACATATTTCCATCTACATGTTGAGCACAGCATCAATCAACACTGTATTCACCCCCCCCTGACAATTGTGAGTGCATCAGTTATAGCTACAAGCATACTCCTCCCATTCACAGGCACTTCATTGGTAAGTGATGTGTATGGACAGCGACTGTATATGTGGCAATGCAGCTAGTTGGATCCCTTTAAACTGATGCCTGTCCATCAAAAAAATTCATAAACTGAAAAGGTACATGAAATTACAGTAAACATTTTAAGCAATGATATTTGGTTAACTTTACTGAAAACATGTTAATGTTATTCAAAATTTATTTATGTTTTTTTCTTTTTCTTGCAAAAGGAAATAAAATGGCAAAAATCCTTGATTTGTTACAAATTGAGTTTTGAATCTATGAATTGAAATGTCGCAACTGGAAAGAAAAAAATCAATTGGACAAATTGTTTTGTTTTCAATTGAGTTAATGTGTCAAGCAGAAAGCATTTTTTGAACCATATAAAAATGTCTCTTGTCTGATTTATTTTAAATGTTCTATCAGAAAATTCAATATGTAATTTTTAAGGTTAAAAAAAATGAAAATATAAAAATAATTTAATCTGCTTTCAGATTTCAGGGAATTCAGGGAGAATAATTGAAATTTGGTGACTGGGGATCCATCTCTTAAGTAGCACCTCTTCATTGTGCTTACAGGGGTGGGTTCAGAAATGTCTGCAGCAAAAACAGACTGATTTAGGCTTTTTTGGCGCTAACTTGTTAAAAAAAAAAGCACACATTGAGCTGTATTTTGTGTTTTGGGAATAAATATACAAAAAAAAGAAAAAAAAGAAAAAAACCCACAATGTTAGTAGAGACAAAAAATCTGTTCAAGTCAAAAAGAAAGTAAATAATGTGCTAACCAAAATGCAAGCAAAGATAAACTTTTGAAATCCATTTCTTTTTAAAGTCATTGCAGAAACAGAAAAGATTAGAATAACAAAGAATCAACCATTAAAAAAAAAAAAATGAAAAGAATAATCTTAAGATTAAGAGTCAAAATCTTAAGATGAGGAGTGAAGCCATTGAAATTTGCAGGGCTTCATTCTATTTTGATCTTTCAATTAATCCACTGACTGCATTTGTTTTACTTGTCTATAAAACAAAACAAAAACACACATAAAGAAAAAAATTGATTGTTTTATTATTTAAAAAAACGTTTTTTTTTTTTTTTTTTTCATAAATCCTTATGGAACGACAACTGTTGAATTTCATCCATGTTACAATTTTATTTGTTCAAAGGTTTTGTTTTTGTTAACTTTTTCACTTTTCTTAATATCAAGAGAATTTTTTTTTTTTTTTAAAAATCTGTCTGTCTATCTGTCCTAACACAACTCTCTTCTCCCTTTAATAATAACAACGGAAAAAAACAATTTGAGACAATGCTTAACCATCTGCCCTCTGCCCATTTTTCTTATTTGTTCCTTGATGAAATTAAATCTCAGACTACTCACTTGTTTGCCTATCTTGTGGCATTCACTTTATTTCCCTTATTGCTTAAAGTATTTCTAGTATTTGTGTATGTGTGGTTCTTATCCAACTCTCACATTTCTAAGCTGTCATTGGTGGCAACATATTCAATGTTCCTTATTCAGTAGTTGACCAAGTTCTCTATTTTTATTTCCCTCAATTTTTTTTTTTTTTTTTTTAAACTAAATGTCACCAAATACAAGGATTGTGTGTCGCTCAAAGTAGAGGGTTACAATTGAAATAGTAATGGCGTGTGCAGTGTATGATATGAGTGGAAGAGAAGGTGTTAGGAAGTGGGAATTATGAGGATAAGGAGGATAGATAAAAATTGAGCCTTGACTTTAAGAGGTCAAAATAAGTGTTCAGGAAAAAGCACCCACACAAGAGTAAGTTTCACAAAGTGACAGTTCTTTGGGTGGGGAGATATCAGAATGGAAGTTCCTCCTTACATTTTGAATATTGGAATAAGGGTGATATGACTCATTGATTAGTCTATTTTTTCAATTTTTAACAATCAGCTGCCTAGTGCTCAGTATACTACCCTTATTACTGATTCACAATTATCTATCAAATAACTTGTATATTTGTCAATCTTCCCAATTCCATATAAATTGATTTTTAAAGTCTTTTTTTTTTTTTTTTTCCTTTTTAAAATCAACTTCCAACTTCATTTGTCTTTTCTTTCCCCTGCCCAAATCTCTCTTCCCTGCTCTGTTCATCCAACAATTTTCTTGCATCTTCTCTTTTACTTTAGTTTCCACCCCAGCCCAGGGTTTTTCCACTGTTTAATAATTTCTCATTCTTTTCAAGGATATTTTACTCCAAACCACATTCCACTTTGAAAGGCTTGGAGACTTTTGTTATTTTGTTAACAAAAAACATGAACCAAAGAAAATGCACTAAAAAAAAAAAAAAGAAGCAAACAAACAAAAATTGGCAAAAATTAATAAAGTGTAAAAG